TGACTGCATGAAATTAAAACCCACACGCATGAAGAGAAAAAGTAAAAAGTACCTGAGATGACAGGTCTTTGTAGGGTAACAACTCATCTAGCTTCTTTGGCTTTACATCATTAGCCTTTTCCAGCTTTTGAGCAAGGTCTTTAATTTTCTTAAGGTAAAACGAGCGGATGTCTGCAACCTATAAGAAACTTCCCAACCTTTATATCATTCAGCAAATCCTGAACAGACCTGTTGGGTGACTTTTTTTATTTTCCTTGAAGGTGCTTGGCCATTTTCTGAAGCAAGCGGATTATGAGGTGGTGTAGTTTGAGGTGTTTCCAGCCTAAGTTTTGTTTGGTCCATCAAAATCTTCATCTCCAACTCAGTAATCGTAGCAGCCTTCACAATATTACTTGAGACGTGGAAATTTATTTGTTATCAAGGGGTACCTGACTTTTCAGTTGTTTCTCAAGCTGTTTCTTCTCAAAGAGTAATTGCTGGTAGTTTGCAGCTTGTTCTTCCTCTCGCTCTCTCTGTTTCTTATTAGACCTGAGCTCTGCAATTGTTTGCTCCAGGTCATAAACAAGCTGTAGGAGCTGTGATGACACAGAAAATTCGTTCCCTTAGCATAATAAGTGAAAGAAAAGACCTTTTCGTTTTCGAGCCTGAGTTTCAGCTCTCTGGCATGGCCTTCAAGGCCGTTGATGGATTTCATCGACCCCTCCATCGAAAGCCCAGTACTTTGACAAACAGATAATTGCATGTTTGCGAGTTGTGAAGCAAGCGCAGCATTTTCATCTGCCATTAGCTTATGCTTTTCTTTGGCCTCTAGCTGAAAATCTTTCATCCTGTCAACTGCTCTTTGATTTTCAAGCTGAAATCACAATGTAAGCTGTAGGCACCCTATTATTTGCCATACCTGATAACCCTTAATAAGTGACTCTTGCTCCCACAGTTCTTGTTTCAGCCGTTTCAGTTCTTCTCCGGTCAAGACAACGACATCGTCACCCCTTGCGATACGCTTTCGAGGAGTCTCGGTGCCCACCTCCTTAAACAGCTGATTATTAGCACAACTATAGCAACATCCTAGAAAATCACCTGTAGGCGAATGGATAGAGCATACTTTTCCTTTTGTAGATCCTTGAGTTTTTTCTCCCAGAATTCCTGCCGTTCCTTCAGAATTCTTTCGGCAACTTGTCGTTCCTCTATCATCTTCTTACCAACTATCTGACTGTGGCGCTTTTCATGGGCCAGTTGCAGCTCTAGTTCTTTTATCTGAAAAGAAAACTTTAAAAATCCCTTCTCAACAACTACCTTTTTTAGAAGATCCTCTTGCTGTATAGAAACACTGAGGGGCTTTATCTTGCTTAGATTTGCTGTTACCTGAACAAATTGAAAGCATAAGTTAAAGCAGCATAAATATTGTACAACTTTTCTAAATAGCTCAGCAAATCGAGTTTGTAGAGCACTGGCTTCAGTTTGTCCATCTCTGTGAGCAACATCTTCAAAACATACGGATGAGCACATAGGGTAACCACACGGCATCATACCTTCAAATGGAAAGCTTTTGATAGCCTTGCAATCCATTGCTGGATCTTGGTGTCCACGCTGTTTAAATTCTGGTAAAGACGTCCACGCGTGATGTTTTGAGGACAAATCAAAAGCCTCAAAATTCGAGTTACTTCCTTGCAGAACTTCTTTTTTATCATGTCTGTAATTTGAGGGATAAATATTTCACAGCCACTGTGCCTCAAAATAACCTGCTACTTTTTTTCCTCTGGTTCAACATCCAGTATAGAAGGATGCCAAACGCAAAGATCGTCTTCACAATCTGAAACAAAAGGCTGAGCTTTTTCTATACTAACAGATTCAATAGCATACGAGTTTTGATAAAATAAGGCTCTTCAGATTCTGATTTGAGGGAATGACCGCATTTCTCTTCAGCGACAATGGATGTGGGATATATCAATTCAAAGTTATTGAGGTGAAAGCCAAGTGCCGAAGGCCTGACGAACAATCAGCTTCGAACTTACAATGGGGAAATGAGAACCTGCATGCTAAGGTACTTTTGAGTGTTGGTGTGCCTGATGGCTCTGGAGAGCGCAACGCGCTCAATGGACTTTTTGGCTGCAAATGCCAGAAGAAATGAGAAGATCAGTCCATCCAGCTCAAGGATTCCTTACCTGTTCGTCATCCACCATTGGAGCGACAAGAAATGACAGAGCGGGAAATCTTTAGAGAGCCCTAATTGCCATTCAACCAAAGCACTTTAATAATCTACATAAAGTTGTCGCTACCCACAATTTTTTATGCTCCTATCTGTTGATTAACCATAAGGAGCTTTTTTGAAAGGGCATGCATACTGACCTGCATTGGTGGTGCTTTTTAATCCCTCGCTAGCAATTCCGAGCATTTCTTCTGCAGCTGCGTTCTCTCCTCATCTACCTATCAAGAAGCTAATGAATAAAACCAAGATTGGATACGGAAACCTTTGCAAGTAGCTCAAGGATGTTGTCATAGTCCCTTTTTTGCTGCGCACACCTGTTAAAAGGTTTATATTTTGTAAAATTAGCATTTTCGCAATTCTTACTGCGACTCAGTTCGATGAAGTCTTTCCAAACAATCTTTATATATCACCGACGTTTTAGACAAGTCGGCTGGTAATGTGGCATTGTGATCTTCATGTTCCTGATACCTTCAGTCAGCCAGATACAAAAAGACCTGAAGTACCTTGGCAACATCACTAGGGCGTACGCTGTGAACCAATATGGCGAATGTACT